ATAGAATATAGAATATAGAATATAGAATATAGAATATAGAATATAGAATAGAATAGAGTTGGAAGGGATCTTGTAGGTCATCTAGTCCAACCCCCTGCCCAAGCAGGAGACCCCACACCTTTTCTGACTGATGACAGCTCAGTCTCTTCTTGAAAGCTTCCAGTAGAGAAATGTTGGGGACCCTTGAATCAATTCCAGGGGCTCCAGATCTGCCCTCCTCTGGAGTCTCCCCACCAAAGCTAAGACGAGAGGCCTCCAAATTCCTCTTTGGGGCTAAGCGTGGCCCTTCCCCACCTCAGGGCCTGCCCACCACAGCCTCCCAGCCAGGTTGTCCATTCTAATCTGGGGAGGTGAAGGTTGGGGCTGCATCTCTCCTCACCCCGTGGCCCAGAGCCCGGGTGAATCCGCGGCCCATCTTGCCAAACGTCTTGAAGAACTGGTGGGTGAAGTGCTGGGCAAAGAAGGCGAACATCAAGTTGGTCCTCTGCGGGTCCGGATGGAAAGTCCGGCGCAGCAGAAGTTCTTCGGCCACCAGCTCGGCTCCTGGCAGCTCCAGTGGTCCTGTGAGGCAAAGAAGGAAGCCCTGCCCGGGTCTGGTCTCCTGGGCATGTGCCAGTCTCCTCCTCCTCCTCCTCCTCCTCCTCCTTCCTTCTCCTTCTCCTCCTCCTCCTTCCTTCTCCTTCTCCTCCTCCTCCTCCTCCTCCTCCTCTTCCTCCTCCTCCCTCCTTCTCCTTCTCCTTCTCCTCCTCCTCCTCCATTCCACAAATTCCACTCCTTTCTACACTGGTGATTTTACCTCGTTGGATCATGAAAGATCTCGAAGAAAACAATCAAGTTCAGGGAGAACCAAGTATTCTGCAATTCTCCTCCTCCTCCTCCTCCTTCTTCTTCTCCCTCCTTCTTCTTCTCCCCTCTCCCTGCTCCTCCTTCTTCTTATCCTCCTCCTTCTCCCTCCACCTCTTCCTTCTTCTTCTCCCTCCTCCTCTTCCTCCTCCCTCCTCCTCTTCTTATTCTTCTCCCTCCTCCTCCTCCTCCTCCCTCCTCCTCTTCTTCTTATTCTTCCCCTCCTCCTCCTTCTCCCTCCTCCTCCTCCTCCCTCCTTCTCCTCTTCTTGTCCTCCTCCTCCTTATCCTCCTCCTTCTTCTCCCTCCACCTCTTCCTTCTCCCTCTTCCTCCTCTTCTTATTCTTCCCCTCCTCCTCCTTCTCCCTCCTCCTTCTTCTCCCTCGTCCTCCTCCTTCTCTTCTTATTCTTCTGCCTCTTCCTCCTCCTTCCTCTCCCTCCTCCTCTTCCTCCTCTTCTTATTCTTCCCCTCCTCCTCCTCCTCCCTCCTTCTCCTCTTCTTGTCCTCCTCCTCCTTCTTATCCTCCTCCTTCTTCTCCCTCCACCTCTTCCTTTTTCTTCTCCCTCTTCCTCCTCTTCTTATTCTTCCCCTCCTCCTCCTCCTTCTCCCTCCTCCTCCTCCTCCCTCCTTCTTCTTCTCCCTCGTCGTCCTCCTCCTCCTCTTCTTCTTATTCTTCTCTCTCCTCCTCCTCCTCCTTCTTCTCCCTCCTCCTCTTCTTCTTATTCTTCCCCTCCTCCTCCTTCTTCTCCCTTCTCCACTTCTTCTCCCCCTCCTCCTCCTCCTCCTTCTCCTCCTCCTTGTTCTCCCTCCTCCTCTTCCTCCTCCTCCTCTTCTTATTCTTCCCCTCCTTCTTCTTCTCCTTCTTCCTCTTTTTCTCCCTCGTCCTCCTCCTCTTCCTCCTCCTCCTCTTATTATTATTCTTCTCCCTCCTCCTCCTCCTTCTTCTCCCTCCTCCTCCTCCTCCTCCTCCTCCTCCTCCTTCTCCCTCCTTCTCCCTTCTCCTCCTCCTCCTCCTCCTCCTTCTTCTTCTCCCTCCTTCTCCTCCTCCTTCTTCTCCTCCTTCTACCTCCTCCTCCTCCTCCTCCTGACAAAGCAGAGCCAGGCAGCCAGGGAAGGGAGCTACACCATGAAGTACCTTTCACTCCCATCGGAGTGGGGCAGTTGGGGGGCACCGGCGGGAGGATGCGGGTGAAGTAGCTGAGGTTGCTGTAGGATTCCCAGTTCAGGTATCCATAGTTGCCGCTGAAGGTGGGCGGGCTGGGGATCAGGTTGGCCCGGGCTGCAGGGCGAGAGGCAGGAAGATGGAGGAGGCTTCAGAGAGCGGGCACCTAGGACCCGCGGAGTAGGGGGTGTCCCGGGACTGGCAGCTGGGCGGGTCTGGGCCTGGTGAGCCTCTCCAGTCCAAGAGGGCAGGAAGCCTTTCTGAAGAAGAGGGGTACCAATCTCCTTGGCCCGCCCGAGCCCTCGCCCGCTCGCCCGCTCACCCGTCAACACCAGTCGCATCAGAAGACCTCGGATGAAAGTCCGGTTGACCAGGCTCCACAGCCAGCGGAAGTGGGTCAGCAAGTGATGAACGGAAGACGGCCTCGGCTTCAGGGTGTCGTACAGCCATGTCCAGAACTCCGCTGCGGGGGGGGGGGGAGGGGGGCGCCAAAGAAATGTTTAAAAAGCCAGAGATATTTCCTTAAAAAGATGTCCCATTTGGAGGATTTACCAGGAAGAACCAACAGGAAGCTTCTCTTCTCAGTTCTGGGGAGTGAGGGGAGGGTACATTGAGGTAGACTGCCTCTGAACATGGAGGTTCTCTGCCTCGGCTTCTCTCTGCGTACACAGACGTCGAAAGCGATACTCACCCGAGCTGCAGTTGGTGCCATAGTATCCCGTCCGGGTACAATCACATTCATAGCTGTCCGTGCCAACCCGGACGCACAAACCACTGTGTTGGCAGGGGAAATAGCAGCACGGATCCACTGCAACAAGGAGAGAAAGAGAAGCAAGGAAGGGCAAGAAGCAAAATCACAGGATTGCTTGTTGCAAAATAATAATAATAATAATAATAATAACAACAACAACAACAACAACAACAACGAGCAGGGCCTAAAATGTGATCATTGACAAATCAAGGAAACCGTCCAGAGTCACTCAAGCGAGAGAAGGATGGTGTGGAAACTTGATAGATCAATCAATCAAGACTTCTGTGTGTAAAAGCTCAAATGACTAGCCCTGAGGATACGGGGAAGAAAGTCGTTCCGGCTTCTTAATCAATCTGAAAGCTGAAAAAGTAATAAATTTGCTCTTTTGGGGAGGCTTCACCCAGGTCTGTTTTCACGTCAGGAAATGTGGTTTACAGTTAATCCTCGACTTACCCTCACCACTGAGCCCAAGGTTTCTGTGGTTAAGTGAGGCATGTCATGGTTCCGACAAATGAAACTTCGAGGCATTGTTTACCTTAAAAAATCTTGATTTGAGAAGCAGAACTTCGGCACGTACACAAGCCAAGCCAAAATCTGAATTCCCCTCCCCTGAGCACATAGTATCAAAACACAATTCCCTCCTCTAATGAACGGTCAAAATCACATTCTCCAATTAGTTTGAAATGCAGGCTTTCCCTCCAGTTCGCCCACCCGCCATTTCTTATCATCTCTTATTTCAAAAAAAAACCTTGGTTCTCACCCTAGTTACAATATTGTTATGTCTAACCAACTCCCATACACATTCCTCCCCCCCCAGTATCATCTATTTTTAACTCTAATTCTAAGAGTAAAACGTAAGAAGGAAAATGGCGGCATGTCCGTACGTTGTCAAAGCAAGAACATCTGATGTTAGCAGCGTTGACATTTGTGAAGTGGGTTTTGGTCCACTTTACGACCTTTCTGGCTATAGTTCTTAAGTGAATCGTGGCAGTTGTTAAATTAGCAACGTGTTCGTTAAGCCAGTGGTTCTCAACCTTTTTAATGCCGCGGCCCCAACCGGTCGTAAGTCGAGGACTAAACCGGTCGTAAGTCGAGGACTAAACCGGTCGTAAGTCGAGGACTAAACCGGTCGTAAGTCGAGGACTACCCAACCGGTCGTAAGTCGAGGACTTTCCCTGCCCGGGAGCGCCACGCATGCGTGGTTCCGACCCCTGTGCCGGCCGAGGCGTAGCTGGCAAGCGGCAGAGACGGAGCAGGCCGACCACCAGCTGGCCCAGCCCAAGGGAGGTAAGGCACCTGCCGGAAAAGGGGAAAAAATGGCGGACAAAAAAAATGGCGGACAGCCTTGCTTGGCGACCCCCATTAAATGGTCGATCGACCCCAAATGGGGTCCCGACCCACAGGTTGAGAACCACTGTGTTAAGCGAACCTGACTTCCCCCATTGACTTTGCTCACCGGAAGGTCGCAAAAAGAGGATCGCCTGACCTTGGAACATTGCAACCGTCACAAGTATATGCCAGTTGCCAAGCGTCTGGATTTTGATCACGTGACTCTGGGGAGGCTGCAAAGCTCGTAACTGTGAAACAAAGTCGTAAGTCCCTTTTTTCAGTGCCGTTGTAACTTGGAACAGTCACTAAAAGGACTATTGTGAGATGAGGACTACCTGCATTTGTCACTGGTCTGCATTGAATTGTGCCCTCACACCAACAACTCGGCTGCATATTTGACACAAGGGGTCGTTGACTTGTGAGCCAAAACTTGTATAAGAGTTTATTTAACGCAGCTACCGTAACAACCAAGAGGCAAATTAACTTCAGATTGGATCTAACTCTGTTTTCTTTCTTTCTTTCTTTCTTTCTTTCTTTCTTTCTTTCTTTCTTTCTTTCTTTCTTTCTTTCTTTCTTTTTTAACCGACACGACGTTCGGTTAAAAAAAAACCCCACACAATGCAATAGTTACAAAGCAACAGGTAAGTAACACGGCAGCTTTACTTTTTAAAAACTTCGGTCTTGTCGAAGCAGGAAGCCTGCACAGCACCCCTTTGCCTGTCGTGATGGGGATTGCATCACTCTGCAGAGGTTTTTTTTTTTACAAGCTGCAAAGCCAGGTCAGATGTCAGGAATTGAGTCTGCTGTGACTCTTTGTGAATTGTAAAGTGCTAAACAAACTTCCTATCTGCCACCCATCTCAGGGTAGTGCCCATTTCATGGCTGGAGAAGAAAAAACAGCATCTGGGATTGAGATAAGCTTGAAGCCAGCACTTAGAACAATGGTGGCGAACCTATGGCACGGGTGCCAGAGGCGGCACTCAGAGCCCTCTCTGTGGGCACGCACACCGTTGCCCCAGTCCTAGGCCTTCAGCTGGGTTTTATAAAACCTTTTCGCTTTAGGCCTCCGCAGCCATGTGCAAAAAAAAAAAAAAGGTTCAATCAATCAGTCAATTTCAACTTCTCGTAGGGAAAAAATAGATCTTGCAAAGTTGGAATTGATTGATTGAACTTTTTAGCCCCACCCAGTCTGCCATTACCACTATAGCCACGCCCACCCAATTGGCCACATGCACCCAATTGGCCACACCCACCCGGCACCCGAGGATGCATAAGTGGATTTTGGGTTGCAGTTTGGGCACTCGGTCTCTAAAAGGTTCGCCATCACTGACTTAGAACATAAAAAAATAGAGTTGGAAGGGACCGTGGAGGTCTTCTAGTCCAACCCCCTGCTCAAGCAGGGGATCCTATACCATTTCAGACAAGTGGTTCTCCAGTCTTTATTTAAAAGTGTCCAGTGATGGAGCACCCACAATGTCTGAAGGCAAAGCTGTTCCACTGGTTAATTGTCTTCGCTGTTGGGAAGTTTCTCCTTAATTCCAGGTTGTTTCTCTCTTTGATTAGTTTCCATCCGTTGTTTCTTAGCTTGCCCTCTGGTGCTTTGGAGAATAGTCTTCTTTGTGGAGAATAGTCTTCTTTGTGGCAGCCCCTCCAATACTGGAATACTGCTATCATGTCCCCCCTGGTCCTTTTTTTTTTCTAGACTAGGCATACCCAATTCCTGCAACCGTTTTAGCCTTCAGCCCCCCTAACCATCTTTGTTGCTGTTCTCTGCAGTCTTTCCAGAGTCTCAACATCTTTTTTGCATCGTGGTCACCAGAACTGGATGATCTTCCAAGTTGCACTAAGTGGAAAGGGGAATGTGAGGGTTTATTGTGGGTTACAGTCCTGGTGCAAGTTTGTGGTCTGGGGTAGAGGATAGTCCTAGGGACCCAGAGCGGTGAGGACAGAAGTTGGCCTTCCCTGGTAGCTCCTGGTCTCAGACAATTGCATTGCCTTCCCTTCGTGTCAATCTTCAGCAGCCCTTGAGGCAAAGAGTGGTTTTTATAGTCTCTTAAAAGACAGAGCTCTGATAAGACCTCAAGATACGGTCTGAAGTAAGCATGGACGGTATCCAGGAGGCTGAGAATGGCCTGGGAAGCCTTTGATTTTTAAGGCTAATTTTGAGAAGCCCTTGGAGTCATGAAAGATCAGATTCTGAAGTCCTAGAGGCGGCCTAGGAGAAAAGCCTCAGAAGGGCCTTTGAACAGCTGGAAAAGAGGGAGATTCGGGTCGTGGACTCAATGTCCCTTGAACCCGTGGCCCTGCTGAAAGGGAGAGTGGAAGAAAATGGAATCGGGAGATGACCAAGGAGCAACAGACACAACTGGACTGGTCCAAATGGTGAAGAACATGCAGCCTCCAAGAGGGAGAAGACTCTTTGAGCCCAACAGTTGTGCAAAATACAGGGAACACTGCAGGCGCACAAAGTTTTATTAGGGAAAATCACACAGCAGGAAGGGTGGGACAAAAGGAGATGCTGGAATATAGAGATTTTTTTTTCCATTATTGCTTCCATTAAAAAAAAGAAGAAGCAAAATTTGGGCAACAAACAATAAATTCCGGGAAAATTCAGAATTGCTGCCTCTAGCGGACTCTCTCTGCCTCTTCTGACAAGCTTCTCAACGGGGATTCAGAGCCGGCTAAACTATCTCAAACTTCAGATTCACCCAGTTCAAGTCCAGCTTACAAGCTAGGCGGGAGAATTAGAATTTCAGCCGCCGCCAAACCACGTTGGTACTCAATATCTGCCAACCGGGTTCACGGTGTTAAAATCCTCCAGCGGTGCCTCTGTCCTTAGATGGTAGCAACGGAGCGGAGGCATCCCTTGCTTCGCAAAGACAGCTCATTAACGTTTCCATCCTTTGCTTCTGAACCAATTTCCAATACGCTTAAACAATCACAAATGCTAATTGCAGCGCCAACTCCCCGGAGGGGTCCAGAGACGGTGAGTGGGTCTGCATAAAATGCACCCCAACTCATAAGATCCCTTCCCAGTCCTGCGTGCAATCATGCCCTGCGCATCTCTGGTCACATTCAAGAGTTGCAAACTGGCAGCAACTTTGGGCAGGGGGTCGGCCAAGCCCCCCTCCCCCGGATATAGCCAGGTCTGTTTCAAATGGCTGGCTTTCTCGCCCTCTTTCTCCCTACCTGAACTGGAGTCTCCTGGGCTGGCATTCAGACCCACTAGCAACGCCAAGGGCAGGCAGGCGGACCACAAGCCTACAAACAGAAAAGGAAATAATTGGGAGTGGGTGGGTGGGTGGGTGGGAGGAAGGTGTGGATGGGGGGGGGAAGGCAGGAACTCGCCTGGGACTTACAGTGCATTGTGCAGGAGAGAAGGAAAGAGGGAGAGAGGCAGGGAGGGTCCCTCTGCTTCCACCAGGCAGCTGAGCGACTCCTGGATTTTTTCTCCAAGACAGCCTGGTCTCCACCTTCCTCCAGGGCTCCTCCTCCTCCTTTGCCTCTGCCTACTCTGGGCTGTGGGTGCAGGAGCCCGGGGGCATGTTGTGCCAGCGCTGGGCAAAACACCTTTGGCAGAAGCTCCAAAGCTGGAGAGTCACAGGAAGCTTCTGTTAGCCCCCCCCCCACCGGCTCTCCAGCCCTTTCTCCCCCAGATATGCCTCCCTTGCAGGAGATAAGCCGTTGTGGTTTTTACTCCAGACTTCAGGGCTTTGGGGAACCCCTTTAGTTGTTGCAGGCTTGGGGGTGCGAGGCCCGCTTCATCCAAAGCTCCTAGCCAGCTTCTCGTAGCTTGCTTCTCCAGGAAAGGGTGCTGGAGAATAACCTGCTTCGGAAAGGCTGGGTGTGAATTCCTCAGCTGCCCTGGATTGGATCCGTGGTCCTGAAATGCTCAAATCCTCACCAGCCCTGGAGACCCAGACCCAGCCGCGGTGCCCACATTCTGGGGGAGGAAGCCCAATCATGCTGGCCAGGAAGGCGGTCTAAATTAAGCAGGGATGGGCCGCCGCCGAGGAGGGCACATATCAGCGCCTCCCGCACCTTCCTGAAGAGCCAGAAAACATTCTCAGCGGCCCCGACCCAGAACTGAGGCTGAGAACTGAGATCGATTTTCTTCGGACAGCTGCTGCCCTTGGTGTCATCCGCTCAGCAGCTGTCCTGAACTTTGCGGTGTCTTCTGAGGTTCTGGGTTCGTGTGGTGGCTGGTGGATGGCAGGTCTGCTCTCAAGCCAGGTTGTCTTCGGAGGCATTTGGGGAGCTCTGCACTGAACACACCCCTGGGAAGACAAAAGCTTTAATTTTGCAAATTCTTCTTTTCATTCCCCCTTCCTGGTCTGAAGTATTCTTCTTGCCTACGGATTTCTCTCTTCTTCCCATCTCTCTCTCTCTCTCTCTCTCTCTCTCTCTCTCTCTCTCTCTTTCTTGTGGCATTCTTTCTTAACCAGCAGTAAATTCCAAAGAGGAGCAATAGAAGTGCATTTAGCAAAAGAATGAAGCCGCAAGGCTTTTGTGGGGGTGGGGGAAAGATTTCAAAGGGCTGGCACCTTTGGATAGACTCCAGAATAGCATTCTCCANTCTCTCTCTCTCTCTCTCTCTCTCTCTCTCTCTCTCTCTCTCTTTCTTGTGGCATTCTTTCTTAACCAGCAGTAAATTCCAAAGAGGAGCAATAGAAGTGCATTTAGCAAAAGAATGAAGCCGCAAGGCTTTTGTGGGGGTGGGGGAAAGATTTCAAAGGGCTGGCACCTTTGGATAGACTCCAGAATAGCATTCTCCAACTGGGTGGCATCCAGATGGGCTGGGACTACTACCGTTTCCAGCAGCCCCAGCAGCTGTTAAATGCCGGCACATCTGGAAAGCAACCGTTCCAGGAAGTCTGGTCTAGAAACATTGCTTTAAACAAGCTGGATGGAGCGTGAAAGATGGTTTGTTAATCTGAAGCATTTCTAGGGAGTAAAACAGATCAGGGCTGCGGAATTTGCTCTTGCTACGAAATTTTGGATTTGAAAATCTTTTCTGCAGGTGTCCTAGGATAGTCATCAAGATCTGCAAAAAATCCATCTAGTAGGCAACCTTGGCTTTTTATGACTGGTGGACTTCAACTCCCAGAATTCCTGAGCCAGCCACCCTGAGGGGAAAGGGAGAGGTTTCCAAGCTGAGCCATGCTGGCTCAGGAATTCTGGGAGTTGAAGTCCATGAGTCATAAAAGAGCCAAGGTTCCTCACCCCTGATCTAGATCATGATTTGATGAGTTTAGATCAGGGGTAGGCAACCTTGGCTCTTTTATGACTCGTGGACTTCAACTCCCAGAATTCCTGAACTAGCCATGCTGAGGGGAAAGGGAGAGATTTCCAAGCTGA